CGAGTTTTTTAACATTTATAAACTTACTATTACTGATACTGAGAATGCGACGAATTTGAGCGAAACTAAGGATCATAAGAAGGAGCTGCATACGAATGCTACGTCGAAGAAGCAACATAAGTAAATAATAGTGCTCCTAATACAAAGAAAGAGAACTTCCCCGACATACATAGTACTTCGTATGTTTATTCGTCTCTGAGGTATTCACATACGTACTATGATTAATAACAATACCAACCACACCACCAACTAGTAATACGATTAATCATACGTGTAGTCATGGTACCAATACAGCCAATCGTACTACCAATACTACCAAGACGGATGCGTATATTAAGACGAATAACACTACGAAAAGCAAGATAAGTAATACGACTGATAATGCTCATAAGCAGCAGTACGAATATGAAAAATAAGAAGAATACTCAGAAGACGAAGAGGACGAGGAAGAGGAGGAGGAGGAGGACGACGACGATGAGGAGGACAACGAGGAGGAGGCGGTTGCGGAGGCGAGGCGGGAGGGAGGAGGGAGGAGGGAGGAGGAAGGCGGGAGGAGGAGGGACGAGGGAGGAGGAGGAGGAGGAGCAGGATGATGATGATGATGACGATGATGATTAGGATGAGGATGATGATGCTGTTGATGATTGTGATGATGAAATTGATGCTGAGGATGATGCTGATGAGGATGATAATGATGATGCTGATGCTGATGCTGATGCTGATGCTGATGCTGATGATGCTGATGATGAGGATGAGGATGAAGAGGAGTAGGACCGGTAACATGGGATGATGAGGAGGGATGGTGACAATGAGGGGGTGCAGGAGTAGGAGGAAAAACATGAATAATACTAATAATAGTAATCATAATTATAATAATCACAATGCTAATAAGAGAAGCTCTAATAATGAGAAGGCAAGCAGAAGGAGCATGAGTTCGGCGCAAGACGTTTTCGCTCAACTTCTTGTGGAGCCAAGATGGGAGGATGATGTGGAGGATGAGGAGGAAGGGGAAGAGGAACACATGAGTAGGGGAGGAGGTGGAGGAGGGAAACGGAGGGTGGATCAGAAGGAGTAGTATCAGGATGAGGGGGAGGAGAAGGATGGGGGAGGAGGAAGGATCTGTCATTGACAACGACGACGACGATTTGACCCGAAAGGTTTTTTGTGGATACGGATCTTTCGCTCTGGGAGCCTTTTTGAGGCCTCTTGAAGCTCTCTCGGAGCCTCCTTGGACTTTTTTGTGTGACCTTTGAAGCCCTCTTGGTGCTCTTTTGGGGCCCTCTCGGGCGCTCTTCGGGCCCTTTTAGGACTATCTTGGAGGCCATCGAGCAAGAAAAGAGGGCGGCGCGGATCGGTGCTGCTCCTCTTGGGTCCGAAACTTCGCCTCTTGGGGCTCTCCTAGAATGCTCTTGGGGCGCTCTTGGGCGCTCCTGTCGGCGGCCACGTGCGAACCTTACCCCTGTCCCCACGATTTCTAAGGGGGGGAGGTCACTTCGTTCGGGAGCTCCTGAGCGGAGTGAACCCCCCCCCCCCCTAGAATCGTTGGGGGTGGGGGAAGGGTTCACATGTGGACATATCCTGGGCGCTCCTGGGCCGCGGATGAGGACCTCTGGGACTCAGTATCTGGGGAAGTTTAAACAGATCGCGCCGGAGAGTCGCCCTTAGATTTTGGCACCAGGGGCCCATTTGAGGCCCCCACACCGTCAGAAATCGATCCTGGATGCAAGGGCGGACCCCGGGAGGTGTCTGGGGACTCCAGAGGGATCGTGAATCGGATCAGACGGAAGTGCTTTGACGGATTTACTCCTTGTGGGACCGTCTTGGGACCCTCTTGGCTTGGGCGATGTTGGAGCTAGCCTCAAAAGCCCATCAGAAGCTTCAAGGTGATGAGGCAAAGCAGCACGTCGATCTCACTAGGTTCTGGGCGGATTTTAGCTGCTTGGGGTCATGCTCGGATGGCGCCGTGGCCACTTGGAGCCGTCTTGTGGCGTTCTAAGAACCTATTGGACGCATCTTAGAGTTGAGTCGGGCCTGTCCCACTACAGGGGGAATGTTCAAAAATAGTCAAGCAATAGTCTGGGGATGATTGTTTGAGTATTTTGGAGCATTTTTTTGGGGGGGGGACTATCTTCTATTTTTCGTCTAAAGTCTGCCTGTAGGGGGACACGCCCGACCTAATCTTTGAGGCTATCTTGAGCCATCTCGGGATACATCTTCTACCATATCGGATACCGTCTTGGACTAGCTGCGCCCATCTTGGAGCCATCGCCTCCCCCGTCCAGGCCCAGGGGCCCGGGGCAGAGGGGCGACCTGGAGCAGTCTGGGAACGGTCTTGGAACTTCTGGGGTGCACCAGAGAGGATATCTTGTGTCGTCCTGGGCTATTTCCCACCATCCTGGGGACCAGCTTGCGTTCTCTGCGCCCATCTCGGAGCCGCATACAAGGCTCGCTACGAGCAGAGCGCTGCACTTCAGTAGCATAGCACATCACAATGCAGCACAGCACAGCGTAGCATTGGCACATCGCTGCGTTGTTGCAGCGCAGCACGAGCACTGCCATAGCGCAGCAAGCAGCCAATGCGCCGATCCCTTCGGGCTCGGAAGAAGCTCGCAGCTCCTTGGGTCCTTCCATGGTTGTTTCTCCGGCGCTCCTCGTGCACCCCGACTTTAATTTCTTCGATTCATCAAGCAGCCTTCCTCATGACAGCATCCTGGCTGCTGGTTTTGCGGAACCGCTGTGCGAAGCGCGAAGAGCTGGTGCCCGGGCCGCGAGGACCCAGGCAGCCGACGCCGGCCGGGCAGCGCGCCTCCCCCTTGAAGAGCGCGTGAGAACCTTTTCAAGCAGTGGCGAAGCGTCCTGGCTCGCCTATAGCCCTACCATGTGGTTTCCACGAAATGTTCTTAGAACATTTCTGGCGGAGTCTGTCTTGTTTTATCACATCGGGTTTATGTTCTACGAACATTGTTTTTGCTTTTAGAATATTTCTGGGTTCTAAGAACATTTCGTGGAAGGACTATAGGAATGCCGGGACGTTCGGTCCCTGCTCAACCCTTTGAGGCAGGCCCAGTTTCGGGGGGGGATAATTCTGAGGATCGGAAAGGGGCGTGGTGTAAAGGGGTGTGGTGCCAATGCTCAATCGTAGATAGCATCCTCAATCCCACGATTTGCACCACACCCCTTTGTGCCACACCCTTTTCCGACCTCCAGGGTAACTGGGGGAAACGGATGGCAAGGCTTCTGGTCGCGCACAGACCGCGCCCCCAGGTAGTCCCAGCTGGCCTCAACAGGCCCCCCCGAGCAGTCAGGGTCGGTCTTGATATCCCGGCGCCGCCTCCAGCGGCGCTCCTGGGGCGCTCCGCGCCCCAGGGTTGAGGTGTCGAGACCGCCCACACCTCTCGGGAGGGCTGTTGAGGCCAGCCAGGGCTACCATGGGAGGGTGCCTGTGCGCAACCTGGAGCATTACCAGGTACGCAGCCCGAGGGGTTGTGGTCCAGGGATGGCCAAAGAGAAATTACATCTGATCCAGATCCAGGCTCCCCCCCCGCCATGCTGATGGCATCGCCCCCCCCCCACCACGATTGGTCCCGCCCCCTTTGTGGGTGTGGTGTGGTGCTGTGGGTGTGGCGTGTGTGGCGTGGTACTGTGGTGCTCCAGGAGAGCTTCGGAGTTCGTCGTCGCCGCCGCCGCCGCCGCCGCCGCCCCCGTCGTCGTCGTCGTCGTCGTCGTCGTCGTCGTCGTCGTCGTCGTCGTCGTCGTCGTCGTCGTCGTCGTCGTCGTCGTCGTCGTCGTCGTCGTCCCCGTTGGAGTCCCTGGGGGGCGCGGAGTCCCCGTTGGAGCGGGAACCCCCGCGCGTCGTCGTCGTCGCCGCCGCCGCCGCCGCCACTGCCGCCGCCGCCGCCGCCGTCGTCGTCGTCGTCGACGTCGTCGTCGTCGTCGACGTCGTCGTCGTCCTCGTCGTCGTCGTCGTCGTCGTCGTTGTCGCCGCCGTCGCCGCCGTCGTCGTCGTCGTCGCCGTCGTCGCCGCCGTCGCCGTCGTCGCCGTCGTCGTCGTCGCCGTCGTCGCCGTCGTCGTCGTTGTCGTCGTCGTCGTCGTCGTCGTCGCCCCCCCATCCTATCGGGGGGTGGGCGTGGAGTCCTGGGACCCATCCCATCTGGGGGGGCGGGGGCGTGGGTCCTTGACCTGAGATCATATGTCCTTGTGTTTCTCGCTCGGCCTGTGGTGCGCCGGCTGCGGGTTGTCCTGGGGTGGGGTGGCTGGGCCTGCCCGGGAGCGGCGAGTCGGGAGGAGCGAGGAGGCGCTGCTTCAATTCGAGGCCTCACGGGCGCGGGGATGCAGCCCATGCCAATTTGGCATTGGGGCTCTTCGCGCGGGGGCGAGGCACGGGCTCTTGTCGTTGCGCCTCCACAAAAAGAGCGACTCTCTGTGCAGGTTGGGCGTGGTTTACGGTGTGTGTGTGTGTATGATTAACTGCAGCTGATCAACTTCATCGAGCTTGCGACGTGTTCACTTGAACACCATTATCATTCACGGGCATGCGACGTAGTCCTGTCCAGATGCATTTGACGACAACTAGCAGCTAGCACCTGCCCCCCAGTGAAACACTTCTGCCGCACTGGCAACTCGTGGAAGGCCTTTGGCCTTTTTGGGAAGTTGGCGGAAGCAAGAACAGGTACACCCCAGAGATGGGAGGCTGCGCTTAGCGCGAGTTGCCTCATCAGTCGATGGCGAGAAGTCGGGCGGGACAAGGACCAGGACACATCGCTCCAGACCGTTCCAGGGCGCTCTCAAAACGATGCGGAACGCCCTGAGAAGTACCTCCTCGAGAAGCGCCGGATCTCAGAGGTCTCCGTGTCATCCCAGTCCGATGTTGTCCTTGTCTTGGCTTCGTATGAAGACGCGCCTAACCGGGCATTGACATAACGCCCACCCGGACAAGTCGGCTGAGGAAATCTGCACCGGCTCGTTCGACATTGGCATTCGAGGGTGCTGGTGCAGTCCCCAGTCGGTTTCGCTGGTCGACGTATATTTTGTCGGGTAGAGTGGGTTTTCTGGCGACGATTCGCTATCGGAGTGCGGTGCTGTGCGCAATGCTCTGGGATTTCTCACGACGGTCGTCGATCCTCGGCTTCCCGGCAGGCCGCCAGCGAGAGCGCCTGCCTGTGCATGGAGCGCGAGCTGCACGCCGTCCTCGATGAGGCGCCCACCAGAGCGGCAGGGCGAGCCGACGGGTCTTACTCGGCGGGCTCTTGCCACTGCTTCTGGCGGCGCTTCGGCTGCGGCGACGACGACGACGACGACGCGCACGCCGTTGATGGCAGCTGGTTCTGAGCGGAACTGACACCCACACCTGTGCGGCATTTGGATTCCTCGGGATGGAACGCGGTCGGGGGGCAATTCCCATTCCTCCTCCACATAGGTTTGAGTGTGTGTTGCTCTTTCGTCAGCTGTGGTTGCGATGGCAGCGACGATCAAGGTAACTAGCGCTAGTCACTAGCGCTAGTTTAATAATGCGGCCATGTGCATCCGAAGTGAGGACGACGCGGTGGACAAACATAGCTCTTGGACTCGCAGGTCTCTCAGTGAGGGGTAATGGTGAAAAAGGGGAGGTTCGGACGGGGCTAGGACGAGGATAAATCCGTTCTAGAGCGTTCTGCTCTGATAAGGCAGCGGCGCCCGAGACATCTTCCAGAGCCGCTGGATCTCAGAGCTTCTCGATTTATCTTCACCCGATGTTATCCTCGTCCTGGCTTCGTCTTAGAAATGGACCCGAGGCCGAGAAGCTCCGCGTGGACGGCAGCGCCCACCTGGCCAGGCGGTCCGAGGCACACCAGCGGATGCAGCTGATGTCTCCTGCGCTCACGGAGGCCCGCAGAAAGTGGCAGGACCCATTCGCTCCTTCATGGGTGGGGAGGATGAGTAAGGTCGGAGCCAGGTATAAGATCGAGGTCGGTTCGGGGAGGGTGCCCAATGTTCTTCGTGCTTGATCTTGTGCATCATGGGGGAGGGTGCCCTCGAGTGATCTTATGGTTTGGGGGGTTTTGGCCGGCGGAGGGTCTCATGTTCTTGAAGCATATTATTCTGTCTTAGGCCCGACCTTCGAAGGAAATCTACGTTGAAGCAAAACTTAGACTCGTACAAGCCTTTACTATCATTTTGGTGTTTCAAAGGGGACGCAGAGGACGACACCCAGATCAGATGCCCGTGCACATGATGCGTTGCGCAAGCGAAGCGTGTGGTCAAAAAAGCACTTCGCATCGATGCTGCAGCTGCAGTCGTCGTGCTCAGGGCGTTTCGCATCTCGAGACTGAAGGCCAGACGGGATAACATTGAAAGGGGCAGCCGCGTGCCTGACAGTAGTATGCTGGTGCCCATAGCAGCCGTGTTGTAAGACTCCGGAGGCCAAAGGCGTGCCCAGATGCAAGATTCGGACACCATGTCGCCGATCCAGAGCCAGATGCACTTTGGGATACTCACACGTGTTTGACATGCCCGACGCACGAATGTGCCCCCGCGTCTCTCTCACAACAGAGCGGCCGTGTGTTCTCTTATATATGCGCATGTCGCCACAGCGTTTGCAGCTTGGCTCCCATGCGATTATGGTCGCACTGTTGCCAGATGTCTTGGCTGCATATGCAGTAGCATCCATTAGCTTCGGTGAGCGTCTCCTAGCCTTCGCGACCGGAGGCGGGCGCCACAGCGGTTGGTGCATAATCGCAGTCACGTCTTGGCATCGCTCGATCATCTCGTTCATGGCGCGATGTCCAGCGCAGGGGGGTCTTGCTCGGGTGGTCTCTCCACAGGCGTCGGGGCATTGCGTACTTGTACTGAGCTTGTTGGTTTCCCATGGCCTTGTTGGAGAGCCCCAGTTGCTCGTCTTGGGTCATCTGAGAGCCTCCCAGGGTCTCTCAGGGGCATCTTGGGGTCTCGGGGGCGTCGTGGCGCTGTCTTGGTCGGCTTTGGGGGGCGTTTTGCAGCTGTGCCTGGGCGATCTTGGGCCGTGCTGGAACCGTCTTGGGGCCGCGAAGAGCCAGAGAACACTACACATGGCGTTCTCTTACAGGGCGGGGTTCCGTGGGGGGGTGCTGCCCCTGGCTGCAAAAGCCTCACCGTGCAGCCGACACAGTCGGGGCCCTGAAGAAGGAACCTTTTTCGCTGGGGAGGGGCTCCGTGTTCCTTAATTGCTTCACAGTTTGCCTTGGATGTTCCTTTGGTTTGCGATAGGAAATTGAAGATTCACTTATGGAAAAAAGGGGCCTCGTTCCCTATTTAGGGTTCCTTAGGTCGACGCCCCGACTGTAGGCATGTCCGTGCGCCCCGGCAGTCGGAGGGCGCAGCGGCGGCCAGGACCGGCCATCCAGCAGCAGTCAGGCACGCGAGCTGAGGCAGTGCTTTGTCTCAGCCTCGTTGATCCGATCCGCATCCTCATCCCCGTTCCCTTCGAGGCCCCCACCACATTACTTGGGGAGACACCCCTCGAAGCCCGAAGGGACTGGCCTATATCCCCATCTGGGGGGGAAAATCAGCCGGTGGGGCCCAGGCCACGCCGCTAGGGATGGGGATCGGATCAACGATACTCATTGTCCTAGCCGTTCATCGTGTGGTGAATGCGCGCGCCACTTATGTCAAAGGGGGGAAAGGTACCGACACGGCTGCCCTTTCCCTGCTTCTCGCTTTGGGAGCCTCCTGGGAGGCCCTCGTCGCTACCATTGGAGTCGCCTCGAAATCGTGGTCAGAACGCACCCCGGGAGGGGTCCAGGAACTAGCGGTATCGGCACTTGCTGGTTTCCCCATGATGCTTGTAGCACCGCCGTGGGCGACGGATCGAGCTGCAAGAGTACTCACACAATGGTGAGGCGGCAGACCGCCATGGTCGCCCGTCAGAGGATGGCGAGGTGTGCGTGAGTGAAACCAGGTACGTTGAGCCGCAAACGTGTGTCAGGAGGGGAAAAACACACACAGACACAATTAATCGTCGACTCCCAGGAAAATATGGGAAAATATGGGAATTGGGCGGGAAGACAAAAACCCAGAAAATATGGAAAAACATGGGGAACCATTTAATTTGTGTGTATTTATTTGTGTGTCCTTGGGCCCATTGAGTGTGCTGCATTCGGTTCACGATTCTGTGACCGCCGAGCTGCGGGCTGGAACAGCTCAGGCACAGCTGGTTGTGCCGCTGTCCCAATAGAGAGTTGGCTGACATCAACGGGCCCACATTCCAGATTCGCAGGCGATGGGAGTTCCGGTGACCCTAATGGGCGACAGCACCGACAGTAGCCAAACTGATGCTGGATTGATGCGTTTTGACAACCGCAGGGGGCCGGGTTCATGGAGCACTCGTTGGACACTCTTGGTCCTCCCTTCGTCATGCAGGCGTTCCGAGCGACGCTCGCTGGTTGAAAGAGGCACCACCGACGGGACGACTGCGGCATGAGCTCGATGCCGCGGCAATGTTGAGCTTCATGGCATTCCGGGATGCGCAATGCGCAGTCTCCTTCGGGCGAACGGCAATAGTTTTTTGTTAAAAAAAGAATCATCCTTTAGTGATAACGGGCGTCGGTCACGCTGCGATTCGCGCCAGCGCCGCTTCCGAATGCCTGGAACGGCTCATTCCCAGACGACGTCGGCGCGAATCGAGACGTGAAGGGAAGGGGGGGGAAGGGGGAGGGGGGAAGGGAATGGGGGGAAAGGAAGGGGTGGGGGGAAGGGGGGGAGGGGAGGGGGGGGGGAGGGGGCGGGGCAGTCGCGGGCGTCCTCGCGAATAGGATGTTATAAAAAGGCTCCAACCCGGGGGGCAGGAAACGTGGGGGGAGGGGGGGGGGGGCACGAGGGCTGCAGGGAGGTGGCCCCGAGGGGGGGGCCTTGGAGGGCCCCCAGAATCTGCCGCCGCGGGCCCAACATCCGGAGGGAACAAGAACGCATAGAGACAATTCGTCGTCGAATCCCCGGAACATGTAGGAACATGTGGGGAGCGGGGGGGAGAACAAAACCCTAGAGAATGTGGGAAAATATGGGGAGCCCTCTTGTTTGAGTCTATCTATTTGTGTGTCCCAGGGCCCCTGCACTTCACCCCACGGGTACAGTTGAGGCCCATGCCAAGAAACACCCTGCTTGCTTGCAGGGTGCCCCTTGTTTCTTGGGTTTCGATGGTTTTGCGAGGGGAAGCGTGCCGTTCCTATTCCGAAGAGCCACGGGCGTCCTGGGGTCTCAGGGCTGGGTTTCTTCTGGAAGGTTTCCTACTCCTCCTCCTCCTCCTCCTCCTCCTCCTCCTCCTCCTCCTTCTGGTCTCAGGACTGGCCTCCGCTTTCTTTCCTCTCCCTCGGCCCCGCCGGCCCACTCGGCCTGCCGCCCTGCCCGTCTTGTCCCTCCCCTCCTGCGCGCCGGCCAACTCGCGATCCGGTCGCCCCGATCGCTCTCCGCCGGTGCAGTTCTTCTGCCTCGCCGCCGACGAAAAAGTCTCCCGTCTCCACCTCCTTCTCCTCCTCCTCCTCCTCCTCCTCCCTCCTCCTCCCTCCTCCTCCTCCTCCTCCAGGTACGCTCCCGCCTCCTCCTCCTCCTCCTCCTCCCCCCTACTCCCCCTCCTCCTCCTCCTCCTCCTCCTCCTCCTCCTCCTCCTCCCTCCCCTCCCCCTCCTCCTCCTCCCTCCTCCTCCTCCTCCCCCTCCTCCTCCTCCTCCTCCTCCTCCCTCCTCCTCCTCCTCCCTCCTCCTCCTCCTCCTCCTCCCCCTCCTCCCCCTCCTCCTTCGCCTCCTCCCCTTCCAGGCCGCCAAGCCAGTCGCACGGCCCGGCGCGCGCCGAACGCCCGTCTCCCTGGGTGCGCGCAGCCAGGCAAAGAGACGAACGGAGTGCCGCGTTCCTTCGGTAGCAAGCAACGGGGGCGTCGAACTTCCGTCTTTGGAGTGCACTCGCGTGCGCTGGCGTTTGGTAGTCGATGAGAAAGCGCAGACTTAGCGTCGACTGGCGTCGGTTAGCGTCGATTCGCAAGAGCCAGCAAAGTGGCATCGGAGGCTCCCATGATGAGTTGCCACAGAACGCTCCAAGATGGCAACGTCTTCGAGTCGTGCACTTACCCCTGGAGGCACTTCCGACGAGGGCGTGTCCGCCAGCGGGGGAGTGACCGGCACAGCTGGACTCGTTGCGAGGCAGTCGCCCTTTCGGGAGATGATCGGCAATGCCGTCAGGGTCGACGTCTTGAGAGCTGCTTGAGCGTCGGATATGTCGCCGCGTCGTTTGTTCCGACGCGCGGCTTTACGTCTTGGGGAGGGTGCCGCGGGCACCAGGGCAAGGCCGCCTCGGGCGCGGTGGGCTTGCCGCGGGTTTGCCGCCGTGCTGGCGCCGTCCGGTTGGGCGCGGGACGCAGGGTTTGCCGTGGGTTCGCCGTGGTGTCGGCGTCGTCCACTTGGGCGTCGAGGACAGACGACCCCCTCCTCCGCCGCCTCTTCCCGCTCCACCTTCTTCTCCTCCTCCTCCCCCTCCTCCTCTTTATCCTCCCTCTCCTTCTCCTCCTCCACCTCCTCCTCTTCCTCCTCCTCCACCCCTCCACCTCCCCATCCTCCTCCTCCTACTTCTTCTCCTCCTCCTTCTTCTCCTTCATTCCTTGTCCTTATAGGTAACTTCTCCCTGTCGCACCCCGAGGCCAGTTTTTAGGGCGGGCCGGGCGTTTCGCCTGAGACTGCCTCACCAATTATGATTCTGAAGCTTGAAAATTGGCAACAGTTTCAGAGATGGAGGGCGGGTGGTTTTCATATGTGGCTCTCGCCTTAGCGCCGCGCAGATTCGACTTAAACGTTTGCAAGAGTTTCACGGATTGAGGGTGGGTGGTTTTCAAAATGTGGTTCTCGCCCCAGCGCCGCGCATGTTCGTTTTTGTTGGTTGTTTGTTTTGTTGGTGTTGTTGTTGGTGTTGTTGTTGTTGTTGTTGTTGTTGTTGTTGTTGTTGTTGTTGTTGTTGTTGTTGTTGTTGTTGTTGTTGTTGTTGTTGTTGTTGTTATTGTTGTTGTTGTTGTTGTTGCTGCTGTTGTTGTTGTTGTTGTTTTTGTTGTTTTATACATTTGCGAGAGTTTCGTGGATTGAGGGCCGATGGTTTTCAAGATGTGGTTCTCGCCTTAGCGCCGCGCACATTCGATTTAAACATTTGCAGGAGTTTCACGGATTGAGGGCGGGTGGTTTTCAAATGTGGTTCTCGCCTTAGGGCCGCGCAGATTCGATTTTAACATTTTCAAGAGTTTCACGGATTGAAGGTGGGTGGTTTTCAGCATGTGGTTTTCATTTTAGCGCCGCGCACGCTTTAAAACATTGCAAGAGTTTCGTGGATTGAGATCGGTTCCTTTCCAAAATGTGGCTCTCGCCTTAGCGCCGTGCACTTTCGTTTTAAGATTTGCAAGAGTTCACGGATTCCCATGACCACCGTCCGAGACATGGTGTTTTAGACTGGTTCAGGATTATGCGGGTGCAACAGTTCTGTGGATTCGCGGTGCTGAAATCCCAACAATCGCATTATGGTGCGATTCCTGATCGTCAAGACGCAGCAGTCATTTTGAGGCATGCTTCAGGATCTTCAAACGGTTGTCTTCCAACGAGGCAGTTCCCTCAATGGAAATGAACCGTTGTAGGGGCCAATGAAGAGGGAGCTCGGAGGAAGGGTTAATCCCAACATCGTTGATGACTCTTCCTCCTCCTCCTACTCCTCCTACTCCTCATCCTTCCTCCTCCTCCTCGTCCTCCTCCTGACTCCTCATCCTCCTCCTTCTCCTCCTGCTCCTCCTCCTCCACCTCCTCCTCCTTCTCCTCCTCCTCCTTCTACTTGTCCTCTTCCTCCTCCTCCTTCTCCTTCTCCTTCTCCTTTACCTTCTCCTCCTCCTCTTCCTCCTCCTCCTCCTCCTCCTGCGCCTGCTCCTGACTCCTTCTCCTCCTCCTCCTGCTCCTGCTCCTCCTCCTCCTCCTCATTCTCCTCCCTCATTCTCCTCCCTCCTCCTCCGCCTCCTCCTCCCTCCTCCTCCGCCTCCTTCTCCTGCTCCTCCTGCTCCTCCTCCTTCTCCTTTTCCTCCTGCTCCTCCTCCTTCTCCTCCTTCCTCCTTCTTCTCCTCCTCCTTCGCGCGGGCCTCATCCATAGATGTAAGGCTGGCGCCCTCTGAGAGGCAGCCTCCTTCTAAGAAGCCGCCTCCCCTCTCCTCTTATTTCCCCCTGCGCGCCGCCAAAGTTCGCTCGGCCCTCCATGAGCTGGAAAAGAATGGACAAGTCCTCTTCGTCATCGCCACCGCCAGACGGGGGCAGCAGCAGGCGCACGACAGCAGGTGCTCGCGTTCTCTCTCTGGTCGGGGCCCGGCCGGCCAGGAGCTCGAGTCGACCCTGAAGGACGCCCAGTCCAGCGCCCTCCAGGATCAGAGGATGGAGGAGCGCTTCTGGCCCGCTCCAGCACGGCACCCATTTCCCGACTCAGGCTTTGTCCAATTTCGCGACATCACCCAGTGACCGTCTGTCCGGCGTTTACTTTTTTTGCACGGGTCATGTTGGTCAGTCGTCTTCGTCAGGCACTATGTCGCATGGCGATGAGGGTTGGATTGTCTCACTATGGTTGTAATTGTTTCACTTTTGCTTGCGACTGTTTGAGCACTTCGGCCCCACTCTTTTGCACCCATGCGGTGCATTATGCAGGCCGATGTCCGATGTCCTGGCACGGCACCCCCGCGGGTCCTGGTCGGCACTGGGGGTTCCCGAAGGGAGGTCCGCAGGATGGAGCAGCGTGAGAGGAGGCGGAGGAGGCAGAGGAGCAGGAGCAGGAGGAGGAGGAGGAGAAGGAGGAGGGGGAGGAGGAGGAGGAGGAGGAGGAGGAGGAGGAGGAGCAGGAGGAGGAGGAGCAGGAGGAGGAGGAGGCGGAGGAGGCAGGAGGAACCGAAGGTTTTGTCATCACGTCAGCACAGCCGACATGCACGACAAGATCTCATGTCAGAAGGGATCTGGCGGCACGCCTGTCGTCGATCTGTGAACCTCCTGAGGGTTCCCGGGGCTTCGGTGGGCCCCCGAGGGCCATCGGGGGGCAAGGAACTCTGGGGGGGCACCTGCTGGCATGCTGTTTTTTTGTCGACGTGCCTACTGTACCCGCTCGGCGACGAGAAAGAAGCATCTGGGTGTGAGGCGATTGTGCCCTGGGCCTCGGCTGACTCGGGTGTTCACTGCTGCAGCGCTCGGTGCCGCGCTAATCGAGAGACAAGGATGACGATGGGGAGGCGGGGGGTTCGGGTTGACCCAAAAGAGGGTCCAGCGATCAGGGGGTGGTGCAATAGATTTGGTGCAACAGATGTGTGGGGTTGCAATAGATTTGAGCCTGCAATGCATTCTGGGGCGCAGATGGATTGCTGGATGTTCGCGTGCAACGCATGATTTGCAATGCGACGCAAACCACTTCTCTGGAGCAATACATTTGCAACACCATTGCCCGAGATCTGCTGCACCACCCCCTTTCAGCTGGTGGGGTCACCAAAAGGTGTGGGCACCGAAAACGCCGCTGGCCTGCTCGTGGCGAGAGGAGAGCGGAGATGGACATCGGGGGAGCGGGCGGGAAGGGTGGGGCCTGGGAGCAGCGGGAGGGCGGACGGAGGGTAGGAGGGGGAGGGACAGGGGAGGGCATGCAGGGACGGGGAGGAGGGAGGGGGAGGAGAAGGAGGGAGGCGGGGGGGAGGAGGGAGGGGATGGGGATGGGGAGGAGGGAGGAGGGAGGAGGGAGGAGGGATGGGGAGGAGGGATGCGGAGGAGGGGGGAGGAGGGATGGGGAGGGGGGGGGAGGAGGGAGGAGGGGGGGGGAGGGACGAGGGTGGCCCACCGCGCTTCGGCGCGACATGCTGTCCACGTCCCAGGGCTCCCGGGCACCAGCTTTCCGAGCTTTTCCTGGCCTCCCGCCCCGCGGAGCGGGGCGATGCGCTACCCGCTTGCAAGACACAGCACGGCGTATCGCTGGGCAGCTGCGGCGACACGCCAAGCCAAGGTTCACGACCGTGGGACATTGACCAGGCCCAGTGCTACCCCTATCTAGCTTCGTTCGGTAGCAAATCACGGGAGCCTTGTACACCCTCGTCATCAGTCTGTCGAGTGCGCTCACCGATGAGACGGCGCCGATTTAGCGTCGATTAGCGTCGAATGGCGTCGATTGGCGTTGGTTTAGCGTCGATTAGGGTCGATTAGCGGCGATTCGCAAGAGCCAGCAATCTGGTACGGGAGGCGCCCATGAGGTGTCGCACAACAAATAGCTATGCTGCACCCCGTATTTGGCTTCGGCCTGAGGTGCCGGGACGTTGGATGTTTCACCCTACAGGTTGGTGGCCGGCATCGGCCCATCTTGATCATTGTGGTCGGAGCCGCAGGGTTTTTGGCGTCAGCCAGGGCACCAGAGGGCATGGCTTTGGGGATCAGTCCTGCTCTACTGCTCCCCTTCGTCTGGAAGTCTGGATGCTGCAAGCGAGCTTTTGCGCAGATGACACTTGTATGCGGCCCCGTTCGGAGGAACCAGCGCAGTCTCGTCATTAGCTTAGCGCCAGCGCAAGCGTGCGACTTGCGACTTTCTGGTTCTGACCCTCCAAAGAATCAGCAGCATGACGGGTCTCTTTCTCCAGAGATGACCCTGCCATTCTTCAACACCTTCCGCGCTTGCTGAAAGGCGATAGTAGGCCAGAGGAGTTGACAGTGAAATTTGCTCCTCGGTAAGACCTCGGCAACGGTTGTTCAGGACACGGTTCATTGCATTAGTTTGCTTATTGCAGGTCGGCCTGTGTGGTGTCCCCGTCTGCCTTGTGATCTTTCGATTCGCTGTGTGGCTGCGTCACCCGGGGCGCATCTTTCCACGTTTCCTCTAGCCTACGGCTGGCGCTTGGGGTGGGGGGTAATTCGTCACCTTTCACACGCTCGCTGTCTCCCAGGCCGCGGTTCACCTCATGAGTGTGCCTATTGCAGGCCAGCTTGTGGCTTGCATTCGGTTCGTCTGGCGTTTCGTTCCGGCATCCGGGCCCGACACGCGCCCGCCGCCCTGGCAACGCGAAGGCGGCCGGGAACGATACAGTGGAGACCCTTGCCAAGAAACACCCTGGTTGCCTCCAGGGTGCCCTGGGTTTCTTGGGTTTCGATGGTTTTGCGATGGAAAGCGTGACGCCTCCGCACCGAAAATCAATGGACGTCCTGTGGTCTCAGGGTTGGGTTTCTTGTAGCAGGTTTCTTGTGGATCTGCCCCAACTGTAATCGCAGGTTTGTTTTTTCCCCTCAGTCTGTGTCAGGGGCTGCGGCTCGCAGGCCAGAGGGAGTTTGATTACTCACTCGTGCTGGTCTTCCTTCTCGCCGAACATTTCCACCGTCGTTTGCTGGACCTCGGCAAACTATTTCATCTCAGTAAGGCGGGCAGGCTCAAGCATTGCCAGACGCCACGAGGTGCAAAGGACGCCACTCTTATCACCGGCAGGTTTGGTAGTGGGGGTGGCTAGGGTACTGGCCGAGGATAATGAGAGGCCTGGCTGCGTTCTCGTTGGGCACTGTCCACATCTGTGGTCGGAGAGCGGAGGCCGAACGGTCTGACGCTGTCCCTGGGTGTGTGGCGAAGGTGTCGGGCTCATTCTCGTTCTCGTTGTCGCCGCCGCCCCGTGACACAACCCGCGACCCGCTCCGCGACCCGCCTCGCGACCCGCCCGCGACCCGCCTCGCGCCCCGCTCCGCGCACCCGCCTCGCGACCCGCGCCCGCGACCCGCCTCGCGATCCGCCCGCGACAGTCCTCGTGACCCGCTCCGCGACCCGGCCGCGGACCGCGACCCGGCCACGGCCCGCGCCCGCCTCGCGCCCCGCTCCGCTCGTGCCAGGAAAGTCAGCTACGCGAGCTGATTCTCAAACCCCTCCTTTGCTACCCCCCCCTTTCGCCCAACCCGATCCGCGGTGGGCCCCGGGACCCTCTCCGCGGCCGCGCAGGTGCGACCCGCCCGAGCCGCGCCGGCGACCCCGCGCGCGCCGTGCGCAGGCTGCCCTGGCGCGACCCGCCCCGCGCGGGCGGGCCGCGGCCATCCGAGGTGGAACAGAACACGTTCTTCATGGCAGCCGATGGCAGCACAAAAACGTGTGGCGTTCCATCAATCAATCAATCAATCAATAACGCCGTGTCTGCACGACACATCGGCTGAAGAAGTGCCGCCGGCTGGAGGCGCATGTCCAGACCAGGGCACAGAAATCAAGGACAGTTCAAGAAAAGGTGTACCGGCTGGCGATTGTCCTCCACACGTGCGGGTTATAGTGTCCAGGACTGAGAAATTGAAACAAGTCGCTCTCTTGGGGGGCAGGGGCGGGGAGAGGGAGGGCAGGAGGGGGGGGGGGGAGGATGACGAGGAAGAGGAGGGGCTGATACTCCACAGAAAATCGTGTGATGCTCCACCTCCGCGACCCGTCGGCGCCGTGTGCTTCGGCCACGCCCAGGGCGGCGCGCACCCCCGGGAACTCTGCTGGCGTGTGAGCTCCGAGGTGGGCGCGCGCTCTGGCCAGGCCGCGGGGGCAGCGATGTGCTGCTGCACGCTGTTGCGCCACGTGCTCGGGTCGGACGTGCGTCGCCAACAGGAGCACACAGTGCCAGTCAGGAGGGGAAAAAACACACACACAGACACAATGCATCGTCGATTCCCAAGAAGATGTGGGAACATCTGGGAATCGGGGGGGAAGACAAAAACCCAGAAAATATGGGGAAATATGGGGAATCGTTTTATTTGTGTGTATTTATTTCTGTGTCCCAGGGCCCCTTCAAGTATGTCCTGACGCGCCCCAGCCCGCGCCCCTCGCTCGTGTCCGCAGCTGGGGGCCGGCACTGAGCGGATGCCCTGGTGCGTGGTGAGTCAGTCGAGATGCGGGGTCGCCGCACGGTTTTGTGGCCTGTTGGCGACGAGCCTGTGGGGGAAGTGAGAGGGGGTTTGGCTTTCTCAGAAGGCTCGGAGGTCCCCAGACCTTCCGAGAAGTTTTCTCGGCGTTCCCCGAAGACGCAGCGAGCCTCGCAGAAGGCCAGAAGGCGTCTGAGAAGCCCCCCCCCCTTCCGAGAAGGCCTTCTCCTTCTCGCTTCCCCCCCTCGCTCGCCGCCGAGCCTGGGCCGTTCTCCGAGGACGTCTCGGGCAGCTCGGCCCTCCGAGGTCCGTGTGGTGAGGTCCGTAGGGCTTCGAGGGTCACAGCACGGCCTGCCACCGCCTCTCCTTCGGGACCCCCGAAGCCGCCGATCCGGCGCGTGAGTTTCAAAGAGATGCAGCCTGAGCTTCAGCTCTGCTGTGGGGTGGGGTGGGGGAGGCTCTGCTAGGGGGAAGGGGGAGGGGGGTGGTTCAAGCTGGGTGCGCTCGCGTCATATCTGACGTCCTACCCCTCCCTCCCACCCCTTACCATGGCGTAGATCTGCTCTCTATTCGCACAGTTGGATGTCGTAGCATGGCTTATCATTACATGGCATAGCATGGCGTTGAAGATCAACGCGTAGCATGACATAGCATGGCGTGGCGACGCCCCAAAGTTGGGGGGGACTTCTGCGGCCCAGAATATCAATGAATCGACACCGAATGTGGAATCACTTCTGATGTTTTTTCAAATTTTTTCGGGCGGCCATTTTCTAGATTCTGGGGCCTATTTGGAAGGACCGAAACGCGTGCCGTGGCATGGCAATGGAAATAATGACGCCAGCGCTGCAGCGGGAACACGATTCGGAACGAGCGGAAGCGCGGAAATGAAGCCAGCGCTGCAGCGGGAGCACGATTCGGAATGAGCGGAAGCGCGGAAATGAAGCCAGCGTTGCAGCGGGAGCAGGATTCGGAATGAGCGGAAGCCCGAAAATGATGTCAGCGCCTCAGCGAGAGCAGCATTACAACAAACAACACAAGCGAAAACCCAACTCGCCGACATCCTGTGTGGAAAAAACAATACGCGAGGGGGGGGCGAACATTCCGAGACAGATTCCGCCACAGACTCACGGGAGAGAGGAGAGTAGTATGTAGTATTCATATTGAGTAATTGTCTACCTTTTCTGGGGCCGCTCCCGCGCCGCAGGAAGGGAAGGGAGAAAGGGGGCCAGGCCTGGGAAGGGGAAAAGGCTGCCCAAGAGAGCTCGTATGCGCCCAGGGCAGTCCCAAGACGGACCAAGAGGCCCCCGAGAGACCCCAAGAGCGCTCCAAGAGGACCCCCAAGAGGACTCCAATAAGCACAAATCATTTATTTCCGTCGAGTTTTTGTTAGCTTTCGATGTACTCGCTTTTTCGAGCTTCCGACGCTTGGAGACGGCCCAAGAGGCCCCCAACACCGCCCCAAGACAACCCTGAAAGGCCTACAAGGAAGGCTCCAAGACGGTTCAAGAGGGTCCGGAAACAGCCCATGGTGGGCCCCAGGACGGCCCCACGAGGGGTAACATGAACCGACGATGTGAGCCTTCCGCCCCAAGCGGCCCCCAGGAAGGGCTTCCAAGAGGCTCCCAAGAGGCCCAATAGAGGCTCCCGAGAGGCCCCCCAGAGGCTCCCGAACGGCCCCCGGAGGCTCCGCGTGCCTCCAGGAGGCCCCCGAGAAGCTTCCCGCGCGATCCCAACGGACCTCCAAACAGCCTCGGGCCCACAACCCAGCTACGACCCGCCCAACGACCCACCCGACGCAAGCATTCCATTCAACTCATCCTGCCTAAGTGGACTGCCAAAACCTTCCTCCCCCTCCTCCTTCTCCTCTTCACTCCTCCTGCTCCACGTTTCTCCCTCCTCATCCTCTCTCCTGCCCCCCTTGAGGTAGAGCTCACAAGCTATCAAACAGGACAAGGGCGCAAGGTGCATCCCAGAGCGTCCCGGATTGGCGGCACAAGCCGGAGGCCTCAAGCAATTTATTGCCGAGAGGCCAGGATGTTAAATGTCTGGCTGCAGCGGCCACCCCTGCCAGCCCGCAGGAGCGCCTCGAGCGTGAAGCCGCAGACTGCCAGGACAAGATCCACGCTCTTCGCAAGGAGGACAGCCTTTTGCAGAGCGGGCTGGGGCTCCGCGCCAGTTCCGTCTTTGCCGTTTTGAGGGGGGCAAGCTCCGAAGTCTCGGCAAGAAGGTTCAGGTGTAGTACAGCATGAGCAGACCGCTGAGCACAGCGGGCCGCGTGCACAGAGGAGATGCGCACTGTGGGGAGTCCGAGGTGGTGAGCCGAAGAGGGAGTGCTGCAGTCCGGTGGGGACTCGGCGCGAGCGGTTGTGCCGAGCGGGCAGAGCGGAGTCTGCGTTTGCAGAGGTGCAGCGGGTGTTGGAAGGCTCCCAGGATCAAGCAGGGTGTGCCTTCCACGTCGGGGCAGGGCGGGGCAGGGCAAGGGCGTGGCGCTCGTGGTGCTGCTCGGCTGGGCTGAAGGGCCATCTCGTCTTGCATGGCATGCCGAGAAGAAGGGGCTCCTTGCTACAGGTGCAGCCCCGCCTCCACCCTCCCTCTTCCTATTCCGCCTCCCCGCATTGCCTGCTCCCCTCTGTCTTCTACCCTCTTACCTTCCGATACTTCTCCTCCACTCTCATCCCCTCCTCTGCACTCCTCGCTCCGACCGGTAGAATGAGATCGACTAAGCACCGGCCCAGACCCAGATCCCCCCACCCCACCCTTCGGCCATATGGGCGACACAGAGAAACGGGGTCGTCAGCGTCGACATTTGCGCGTAAGCTGCCCGCGTAAGGCCGCGCGTAAGCGCCCTCGTTTCCACTGTGGCATGCCGCGCTGGCGGGCCCGCGTGAGCCACCGCGTAAGGTTGCCATGCCATCTCGCGTAAGAATCATTCTTGACCATCGCTCAAACGTCGAAGCCCAGAATGGAAAGAAAACGCTTACTTTTCTCGACCACATGCGCACTGAGCATTCTGGTGTAGATCACGTACCCGATCTACAGGGTTCGCTCAGGAAGAACACCGAACTGTAGCGGACAATCCTTGGCACCGCTGGCCGGGGGTTTCGCGCGTCCTGCGTCCTGCGTCTTGCGTCTTGCGTCCTGCGTCCTGGCCGGCTCCACTGGGCTTGGTCGTCCATCGACGTCCTACAGTTCCCAGATCTCCGACGATACCTTTTTTGTTTCAATCGCGGCCTTTCGCATTGATTTCGGCCTCTGAGCCCGTTGTTGCGCCCCAGGGCGATCAAACATGGATCCAGGGCGAAAAGCTACCCCCAGGGGAGGGGCGCGGGACCTCTGGGGCCGCGCATGGAAAACGTCAGCTTGTCGTAGGCCTGGGTGCAGAGCCCTGGCCAGCCCCATGGGGCTTGGACTTCCCTTGGCTCCTCACGGTCGGCGCCTCGAGGGAGGGGCCCCCGGGGGGAAGGGGCCCCGAGGACGAGGTGCCTCATACGATGCAGGTCCAGCCTCGGCAGCCTCGGTCCGGCCCTCGCGCTCCTCTTCCTCCTCCTCCTCCTCCCCCTCCTGCTCCTCCTCCTCCTCCTGCTCCTCTCCCTCCTCCCCCTCCTGCTCCTCCTCCTCGCCCTCCTCCTCCTCCTCCTCCTCCTCCTCCGATCCCTCTCCGCCCTCGGGGCCCCATCCCTCGGGGGCCCATCTTGGAGCAGCTGACAGAGCTCGGGCCGAACGAAAGGGGGGGGGAAAGGGAACGAGGGGGGAGCGAAATCTGCTGCATGCAGCTGGTTTCGGCCCCGCCGCTGGGTCCATTCTTCGATGCATGGGCGCCTCCCATCACGTGAGCTGAGCCTCTATCCTGCCCTTTGCTATCCCCCCCTTTCGTTCCCCCTGGACAGCCTGGCCTCGGCTCCCCCCCGTCCGCTCAATCGCAGCCTCCACGTCGTGGCTCACGCACGCGCTGCGTGCTGCGCGGCGGCAGGGGCTTTCCCTGCGTCGCGTGCCGACCGGGCGCCACGATCCTGGGGCGCATGCGGCCCTCGCGCTCCTCTTCCTCCTCCTCCTCCTCCTCCTCCCCCTCCTGCTCCTCCTCCTCCTCCTCCTCTCCCTCCTCCCCCTCCTGCTCCTCCTCCTCGCCCTCCTCCTCCTCCTCCTCCTCCTCCTCCTCGGCGATCCGACGTTCGATCCATACCTCAGTGCTGCTGCCCCCCACTCTGGGCGTCATGAGGAGAAGGGTACAGTGGGGGCGCGCAGCAAGGAACCGTGTGCTTTTCGTCGGGGCATCCTGGGTTTCTTCGCTCCGCGAGCTGCCCGGCGACTTCCCGCAGCCGTGGAAGCGGCTGCTGCGTTCAGTGTGCTCTGGGTTCCCCTCAGGTGCACCTCGCGCGGGGGTTTTCAGGGTTGGGTTTCTTGCGAGGGTTTCTTGCGGCCGCGCCCGCACTGTGTGGATACACAGTCAACTGGGGCATGATTCTCATCCATGCCCCCACTGGGCCCCTGGGATCGGGGCGTGGGCACTGGCATGGATGGATAAGACGTCGATCGCGTAACCATCTCCCTCCCTGACTCGGGACCTGCGGTGGCCAAAACAGTTTTTTTGATCCGCGGGTCGAGAGCGCACCTCTTCTGGTCGAAGCTAAGCGGGCCGCGCGAAGCTTGAATTAACCAGAGATGGGGGAGGAAAAGAAGCCCAGCCTCAGAACGAGGCCGGGAGGAGGGCGGCCGGGAGGAGGGCGGTGGCCAAAACAGTGTGCACGCAGAATTTGCGGCTGGTGGAGAAGTGCGCCGAGCTGCAGGCCTCGGCGCCGGGGCGGCTCGGGCAGCGTGCCGATACGTCACCCGCTTCTAGCCACGGGCCTGGCGAGGTTGGCCTGGGGATCTCAGTGCATGCCGCACTCGGGCCGTCGTGTCCCCCTCGCTCTTCGGCCGGGGCGCAGCATTTCCTGTGCAAGTGCGGGCTGGACTGCGCCCTTCCTCGAGCTCGCCTCGCCCCCGCCACGCAGTATCTCTCCCTGGACCGGCTCGAGATATCCTTCGAGCCCTCACGGGCGATGAGGGACGGTGGGATGTTGCACCAATGTGTATGATGTCAGGGGGAGGGGAGTCGCCTGCAGCAAAACCATTGATGCCTGGTATCGGGGCGCGATTTGAGCCGATCGGCGCCGCTGGAGCTGCCAGCTGTGCATCTACACTGATCCTGTCTAGGCACACCCTGGGCGCAGGATCCGTCCAGGGGGCTCCGCTGGCTAGGCCGGGGGGGCCCACGCACAAGTCCCGTGTCCCAGAGTCTGGGCATGCGTACGGGCTGGTCGTAAGTAAATACTGTGACCCATCCGCCAGTGCTTTGATAACACACCGCCAGACGATGTTGGCGTAGTGAGCGATGGAGCGCTTCCTGTGCGGAAGATGTGCCCAGGCCTATCGGGAAAGCAACGGGCAGCCACCCGACCTTGCCGTGAACAGGCGCCTGTGGAAGGCGCGCGTACGGTCGGACCGAGGTATTAGATCGAGGTCGGTTCGGGGAGGGTGCCGTAATGTTCTGCGTGTTTGTTGAATGCTCTTGTGCATCCTGGGGAGAGGACACCCTCGAAGGTACTTCAGTTTGGGCCGGCGGAGGGTCTCCGGGTCTTGTGCTATTCTACCTGGCTTTCCCGATCTGGTTCGGTAGAGCCATCTTGGGGATGTGTGGAATGCAACGCTGCGATTCTGCAGGGTGACTTTCTGCAGCGTTGCATGTTTGCCGCGTTGCCCCACGGGGGCTTCGTGGATGCTTCTCGGAGGCGTCCTCGTGGCCAGCCTCTGGGGGTCCTCGTGGGGGCTTCCGTGGGGCTGCAATGCGCTAAGGGCGGCAGTCCCATCGGAGGCGCTGCAGCGACCACAGTGTTAAGAGTTCACGGATTCCGACGCCGACCTCGACGATTTCTATGTCGACTGGCTGAACGGGTTCTGTGTCTGAAGGCGCGTGATTTTCGTTGTTAGGTTTGACGGGTGCGGGGGGGGGGGGGTATGGAGCGGACGCAGTTCCTTCTGCCAGCTGCTCTCATGGAGGATTCAGGGACCACGCAGCTTGGTCTAGGCTACTCAGACTTAGAGGAGCGGATGCCAACTACATTAAATCCACAGCGGTGGCACGATGACTTCGACGACGACGGGTCTTTTTCTTTCACTTTTACTCCTGCAGGTGCTTTCGCTGTTATCTGTAATGCCCAGCGTTATACCCCTTCATGGGAAACTGGTTTGCCGATGGCCGTTCGTAGAAGGTTGTGGAGTTCTGGCTCTGCAGCTTCAGGGGGAGGCGCCTGTTTTTCTGCGTTTGGAGGTAGTTCAAGTGCAAGTTGCTCTTCCAGGGAGTCCCACCTTGCACCACAGGACCACTCCAGGGAGGGCTTCCTTTAGACTGGTCGGACCGGGCCCCGGGGAGAGGGGTTTTGGGGAGGGGCCGGCGAACTTGATATATGATGTGTTCCGATGTTTGGTGGTTGGTTGCAGAGTTCCGTCCCCCTTACTCCATCCCCTCTTCATCCTTTTTTGCCTCTGCATCCTCTCCTTGATAAGGATTTCTCTCACTGTCGATCGTCGCCCCCCCATGCAATATGATGCCCACTGTGACGCACATGTCAGGCCGAGATCCCGGACAGCCCCCGCCGCCTGTCCAGTTCCATTGGCAGCGGCAGGATGACCGACAGGCTCCTCGCGTAACCATTCGCATCAGGGCGTGTATGCAGACTTACGCGCACGTACGAGTAAATCTTTGTCCTTGTGCTTTATGCGGGTCTCTTGCACATGCGCGTGCAGACTGGAGTTGAGGCGCCGAGATGAAGGCAGCACAAACGTAGCAGCCAATAGTATCCAAAGTTACCGTGATACGCACGTGGGTGAGTACATGTGCAGGCAAGAGTGCCATTGACACGCGAGTTCGCTATTGTCCGAGACCACGTCAATCAATGCGTATCTTCACCCGTTAGAGCCTCATGAAGCTAAGCAACGGTTCGCTCAGAGAGGTTGCGTGGTTGCCCTCAGGATTTCTTGGATTGTGTGCACAGACCTATCCCAGCCCAGGTACTTTTGGGGGCAAGAATTGCGACCGAGGATTTCGAAAGTGGCGCTTTCGAGTTCGTTTTTCTATTTCCCAGCTTCTCCTCCTCCTCCTCCTCCTCCTCCTCCTCCTGGTCCTCCTCCTCCCGCCTCCTCCTGCTCCCTGACTCCTATCCGTCCTCCCCTGCGTCACCAGCGTGGAGCTCAGGACGAGCACGCAGCTTCTGGGGGATCAGTGTGGATGTGAAACCTAACCCACAGCGAAGTGTCTCACGCGAGCGCCTTCGCTGCCTGGTCAGGGTAATGTTGGGCAGGAGAGGGGCGAAGGCGGAGGAGGAGGAGGAGAGGAGGAGGAGGAGGAGGAGGAGAAGAAGGAGGACGACGAAGGAGGAAAGACGAATGAGGGAGACGGACGAGGAGGAGGAGGAGGAGGAGGAGGAGGAGACGGATGAGGAGGAGGAGGAGAAGGAGGAGGAGAAGGAGGAGGAGGAGGAGGAGGAGAAGGGCTGTCCTTAGATCCAATGCCACGGACAAAACTACAACGTCGTAATCGATTACGACTCATGCCCAGGCCCAGGATCGATCAGTGATGTTGCCAGGGCCCGAAACCGAGCGAAACCGCTTTGTTCGGGCGTTGCTAGAAGTGCCCCTGGCCCAAGGTGCCCTCAGCTTTTCGCTCCATTTTGGAGCCCCTGGGGCCCTCTGGGCCTCGTGAGTGGTGCCCTGGAGGCCGTGGGGGCCTCCCTGGGAATCCTGGGGGCACCTTGGGCCAGGGGCACTTCCAGTCACACCCGAACAGAGCACCCGAACAGAGCCGAGCACCAGCGAAGACGCCCCGTGTGCAGAGGATGCAGCGCCCCCTTCTCGGGGCGGGGCGCTTGCGGCACCTCGGGCATCATCGCCACGGGCTACGGGCTCCCCCCCCCTTGTCCGCTCGAGGCCCTCCAGCGCGGGCACCGGCGCGGGCGCTGCGCTCGCCAGGCGCTCGGCCAGCGCTTCGCCTGCCGCACAGGCGTGCGAGGAGGAGGAGGAGGCGGAGGAGGAGGAGGAGGAGGAGGAGGAGGAAAAGGATTGGGGGTTGGGTGAACATTCGCAATTCTTGCGAGTTGGGTTGACGCTGGCTATCGCTGCTACCCTTTGCCTGCCTATGTCTTGCCGTCTTTCTTACCGCTGACGTTTGCATGTGTGGACACCTTAGACGTTCGTTTCAGAGCTGTGGGAAGAAGAATAAGGAGGAGGAGGAGGAGGAGGAGGAGGAGGAGGAGGAGGAGGAGGAGGAGGAGGAGGAGGCGCAGCAGGAGGAGGAGGAGGAGGAGGAGGAGGAGGAGGAGGGAGGTGGTAGTGGAGGTCCTGGATGCCAACGTTGGTCTCGGCGCACGACGAGGTCAGTGGCGGGCTGGAGAGGATCGGACCAAGTTGCTAGCAGTTCTATCGGGAGGTCGATGATGGTGATGATGATCCTGATGGTGCTGATGACGATGATGATGGTGACGGTGATGTTGATGGTCGTGATGATGGTAATGCGGAGGAATATGTGTTTGATTGTATGAGCCCTTGTCTGAAGGAGTGCAGCACAGCAGCAGTACAGAGCAAGTGCCAGAAAGTGCGGGATACGTCAGTGGTTAGCACGTGCATTGGACGCCTTCTGGCTCAAGTGAAGAGTCTTGTGATTTTCGATCCATGCGCAGGCTACTCAGAAACACATATCGTCCTACCGTGCAACCTCCTATGGGGTTCGGAGGAGGAGGAAGAGGAGGAGAAACTTGTCTTTGGCACATGGGGCGATCAAGCAACCACCTCATAAACAGTGCCGCCGAGCTCTGTGTAAGAAGAGTTGTTTCGGGTGTGGGAGGGGACGGTGCGGACTCCTCGTGGAAATCTCAGGGGATCGAGATCCTGGGTGAGAAGAGGGGCCGCATGCCATCTCTACGGAATTCTTTCATTCGGGATGTGATTCCTTCTGTAATGATTTCCCATCCTCGTGCTATACAATGCTCGCTGATGCCCCGCAAACGTTAAGTACACGATGGGCGGCTGTGATCGGCAGTGGTAGAGTGATGCATGAGGCCGAATGCGTACGGTGCAGAATTGCAGAATACATGGCACGGCATTCATAGGGCTCGTGACGTATTTGTCTGTGTCTTGCGGCGGCGGACGCGCGTCGAGAACAATGTGCGCGGCGAAAGATGGAATAGATGGGAAGCGGAAGGGAAGGCGAACATCCAGGAAATAGAGGAAATGTTGGGACTCTTGCAATCTGTGCCTGTTTATTTGTGTGTCCCGGGGGCCCTTTACCTACTTGCGCTCCCTCCCTGCCTGGTCGCGTCTCCCCCGCTCCCAGGGGAGCACCTTGGCGCCTCTTGGGGCCCTCTTGGGAGCCTAGTGGGGCCCTCTCGAGAGCCTCTTGGGGACCTCCTGGGGGTCTCTCGGAGGCCTCCTTGGGTACCTCTTGGGACGCCTTCTTGGAGCGTTCCTGGGAGCTTTGTGGGCTCTCCTGGGGCTGTCTGGGCGGTTGTCGATCCCCCCCCCTGGCGTCCCCCGCCCCCCTCTTTCGGGCACAGCACTGGTAGGTTTAAGTCGGGCCTGTCCCCCTACAGTTATGATGTTCCAACCTACTTCAGCCTTAATCACCAAAATGAATTCCGAGCACCAATAAAGCACCCCAAAACTCTAGGGTTTTCACGTGTCGAGCCCTGAGAGACACTCTTTCGACACTCTTTCGACACTTTTCTGGGTGCTCGAAATTATTTCTGGGATGTGGTCCTTAAGTGCGATGGGAACAACATAACCCTACAGCCCGATTTTTTGGGAAAAAATTAAAGCACCCCGACCAATATTCTACGCATATTCAAACATTGTCAAAACATAGTCCCCTGACTCTTTTGTGTGTGTGACTATTTTTGAATTCCCCCCCCCGTAGAGGGACAGGCCCGACTTGATAGTAGCTTCGCGTCGTGTTGGCGCGGCGGCGGCCCCACCGCAGGCGTCCAGGGCTGCGCGCCGCCAGGTTGGCCCAGAACCGGCCTCGAGGGACCGACCCGGCGGCCGAAGAGCCGCCGAGCGTCCGAGGCGGCCGCCACGACACGAGCCCGCCTCAGGACGTCTCGACGCGCCCCCCCCCCCCCCTCTTAGCATCGGGTGGGCCAAGGACCTGGATAAGTGAATATACGAGCACGCCGCGGGACGTCTCGACGCCCCCCCCCCTCTTAGGATCGGGCGGGCCCAGGACCTGGACAACCAGCTCGTTCCAGAGCGTTCCAGAAGGCTCTCAGAGCGTTCCAGAGCGCTCTGGAACGGCCGCGGCTCCCGATACGTCCTCCAGAGTGCCGCCACATTTCAGAGATCTCGGCGTTACCCCAACATACTAAGACTTTGTGTGCGTCGCCTCCCAGGGGGCGACGCGCGGCGGGCGCTTTCTGGCCATACTGCTCGGATGGTTATGCTATATGTTTGATCGGGTCGGACGGGAGCCTCCGAAGAGGACGCACAGTGAGGGGGCCCAATTCCCGGGGCCCCCTGGGGCCCGATCAACTTCTGCCTCCCTGGGGCTCCCGATGGGCCCCTGGGTCCCCCCCCCGAGGAGGAGAAGGAGGATGAGGAGGAGGAGGAGGAGGAGGAGGAGGAGGAGGGGGAAGAGCAGGAGGAGGAGAATGATGATGAGGAGGAGGGAGTAGGAGGAGCAGGAGGGAGGAGGAGGAGGAGGAGGAGGAGGAGGGAGGAGGAGGAAGGAGGAGGAGGAGGAGGGAGGAGGAGGAGGAGGAGGAAGTGGGAGGAGCGCGAAGACTGCTGCCGTGCAGCTGGCCCCGGGGCCCGCCGCCAGGCTGGAGACCTGGCCACGTGAGCCGCTTCGCCAGCGCCCCCCCCCAGGGCAACGGTAGGGGGGGATAGGCATAGGGGGGTTTACATCGACCCCCAATCGCCCATTGATCGCCGATAGGTGCCCGACAGCCACAACCTACCCGGGAAGGTGCGGACTCACGATCGGGAGCCTGTCGCCGATCTATCGGCGATGTATCGCCGATTCCAGGTCGATTCATCCCCTCCTATGCCTATCCCCCCCTATCGTTGCCCCTCACCCCCCTCGCTGCCCCAACCCCCTCGGGTCACAACAAAATCGCTGCGGACAGTTTCCGTCTGGCTCTCGTCGGGCCCCTTGGGACTGTAACAGAGCAGCTCGGGATGAGAAGCCGGCCCCCGGGAAGGGGTCCAGACCTCTATATAGGGGTCAAGTCATGCAGAAATCGTGACGTCGGGCGTCCGGGTGGATCCCCAGCCATCCGACGTCTTGAGTTTAGTTGTTCAGCGTGGGGCCCCCAGAAGTCCCGTGACCCTCTCTTTTTCTGAGCTGGCTTCTCGTCCTGAGCAGTCTTGTGGCAGTCCCAGGGCCTGGCGGGGGCTGGCTCTCGGATTGGGCGTTGCGTGATGGGGGGGGCGGTGGCCGGAGGGGGCGAAGAGGGGTGCACCTTGGGGGCTGGAGAGGACCCCCTGGTGCCCCAAAGGTGCACCTTTTTTCGCTCCCCCGCTTTTCTCGCCCCCTCCCCCCAGTACTCAACGCCCAGTCAGAGGCAGAAAGCGACCACAAACCGTCGTCTTGATGCTTCCAGGCCGTTGGACGTCTGGGCCTCCCCACTTGCCGCCACCCCGCCTCTTCATCGGCGGGGCGAGCGGAAAAAGGGCGGCCCCGGGGGCCTTAGCCTTGCTTCGCGCTGTCGGCGGTGGATGCGACAACATGTTCTCGAAGAGCCGTTCTGGCATGGTCGAGTCCCCCCCCCGTGGAAGCTGGCAGTCTCCACCAGCGCCGCTTGCTCCCTGGCACGCGGGAGAAAACACATGCCGCCCACCCCGCCTCCCGCAGCTGCCCGGGGGCCTGGGCACGCCCGCCGCCGCAGCCCGCGGCGGGAGCAG